AGCTGGGAGACTTCAGTAGTGTCAGCCTGAGCTGGGAGACTTCAGTAGTGTCAGTCTGGGAGCTGGTGTAGGGAACTTCAGTAGTGTCAGTCTGAGCTGGGAGACTTCAGTAGTGTCAGTCTGAGCTGGGAGACTTCAGTAGTGTCAGTCTGAGCTGAGAGACTTCAGTAGTGTCAGTCTGAGCTGGGAGACTTCAGTAGTGTCAGTCTGAGCTGGGAGACTTCAGTAGTGTCAGTCTGAGCTGGTAGACTTCAGTAGTGTCAGTCTGAGCTGGGAGACTTCAGTAGTGTCAGTCTGAGCTGGGAGACTTCAGTAGTGTCAGTCTGAGCTGGGAGACTTCAGTAGTGTCAGTCTGAGCTGGGAGACTTCAGTAGTGTCAGTCTGAGCTGAGAGACTTCAGTAGTGTCAGTCTGAGCTGGGAGACTTCAGTAGTGTCAGTCTGAGCTGGGAGACTTCAGTAGTGTCAGTCTGAGCTGGGAGACTTCAGTAGTGTCAGTCTGAGCTGAAAGACTTCAGTAGTGTCAGTCTGAGCTGGGAGACTTCAGTAGTGTCAGTCTGAGCTGGGAGACTTCAGTAGTGTCAGTCTGAGCTGGGAGACTTCAGTAGTGTCAGTCTGAGCTGGGAGACTTCAGTAGTGTCAGTCTGAGCTGGGAGACTTCAGTAGTGTCAGTCTGAGCTGGGAGACTTCAGCAGTGTCAGTCTGAGCTGGGAGACTTCAATAGTGTCAGTCTGAGCTGGGAGACTTCAGTAGTGTCAGTCTGAGCTGGGAGACTTCAGTAGTGTCAGTCTGAGCTGGGAGACTTCAATAGTGTCAGTCTGAGCTGGGAGACTTCAGTAGTGTCAGTCTGAGCTGGGAGACTTCAGTAGTGTCAGTCTGAGCTGGGAGACTTCAGTAGTGTCAGTCTGAGCTGGGAGACTTCAGTAGTGTCAGTCTGAGCTGGGGACTTCAGTAGTGTCAGTCTGAGCTGGGAGACTTCAGTAGTGTCAGTCTGAGCTGGGAGACTTCAGTAGTGTCAGTCTGAGCTGGGAGACTTCATAGTGTCAGTCTGAGCTGGGAGACTTCAGTAGTGTCAGTCTGAGCTGGGAGACTTCAGTAGTGTCAGTCTGAGCTGGGAGACTTCAGTAGTGTCAGTCTGAGCTGGGAGACTTCAGTAGTGTCAGCCTGAACTGGGAGACCATTAGAAAAATGAGGACATATTCAAATATTCCAGCAGAGCTGAGAGATACACAATTTTTGATGTACATATATACACAGAGATACACATCTCCCGTAGCCCCTTCGCTAGCACTCTCAGCTCACACACTCAGGTTCGGGGTTCGAATCTTCTCCGTTACAGCTGAGAATTTGAGGAGCTTTCAGCAGTGCACTGCTGGTCCCTGTCCCGTTACTCAGTATTGTAAAAGTGGGACTTCAGTAGTTAGTGGACTTGGTGGGCCATCCTGAAAAATGATTATATTCAAATTCCAGCAGAGCAAGGATCACAATTTTGATCGTTATCACTGCATATACACTGAGATTAACACTATACATGCTCTACTCAGCTCTAAACACAGGTTCGGGGTTCGAATCTTCTCGGTACGGCTTGGATAACTTAGGGCGTTCCCAAGCTATCTTTCCTTGTCCCTGTTCACGCATCTTTTAAATAGGTACCTGGGTATTTGACAGGTGTGGGTGCATCTGGGGCTAAAACTGCCTATTTGCACGGAGGCCCGGTTCCATACACCGGGTGAACATTAGTATGTTCGTGATACTATGGTTGTATCCTTGTTCACGTACTTGTAATATCAAGATTTATACATGGTTTAGTCGCATCTGGGTGACATGAACTTAATGGACTCCAATGTAATAAGTACGAAGGCCGCAAGCATTTTATTTCTAGTTACGTCGGTTCTATCCTCAGGTTATAATTCGACGAAGCTTATATATCGAACGCTCAAAACTAAATTTACTTTAAATTTTCTTAAATTTTGAGAGAAAAATTATTTGGGAGAAAGTATATTGGGCAGTACACTCTGGGTAGAGCGCTTGCTTTCAGTGTAAGGCTGCTCTGGATTAGATCCCCGGCGCATCCCAGGTACCTCCATGAATTATTGATTTTTTGAAGGCCACGACTGGTCCACGGGGGCGGTGACCCCCAGAATCGTCTTCAGTTAAGACATACACAGTGTTTCTCCATCTCCCTGTTGATGGATCTGGGGGTCATCGCCCCCCGCGGCCACGTCTGCTGGTTTATGGGCTGGACGTTGAGGTTAGTGGATCTTGCAACAAGCAGTAGATCAAGGAAAGCTTCGGGAAAGCTGACTCAACCTGCTTAACCTGACTCCAGCAAACATGGCGTCTAATAATAATCCAAAGATCACAGAAGAGAAAGACATTTATGAACAGTTTAATACATTACAGGAAACGTTTCGAAACGAGTGGCTTTTTTAGGACTGAAAAAGCCACTTGTGGCTTAGGTGTTTTTAATTTCAGCAGATACGAATTTTTATTTTATTTGCTATTCAAATTTTGTGATAGATTTTGTTTTTATTTTAGTTCACAAAATTTTACGTAGACCCTAAAAGTATCGTAGGCCTTAGGCACTGTGCCTATTTTGCTTAATGGATAATGTGTCCTGGCGGAGTAGACAGGATTTTTAACCCCGGAGGGTTAGCTACCCAGGATAACCCAAGAAAGTCAATGCGTCATCAAGGGACTGTCTGTCTTATCTCCATTGTGGTCCTTAAATCTTGTCCTCCAGGATGCCACCCACACCAGTCGACTAACATCCAGGTACCTACTTGCTTGCTAGGTGAGCGGGACAAAAGGTGTAAGAAAGCACACCCCATGTTTCCACCCTTGCCGGGGATCGATCCAAGGACACTGTGTGATGCAAGAGCGTTGTCTACCAGGCACGAGACACCGTGGATTAGATTAAAACAATGTGTACACACACACACTACACAGAGGCGGGGCCAGGAGCTGAGTATCGACCCCTGCAACCACAATTAGGTGAGTACAATTAGGTGATAAACACACACAAGACGAGGTTTGATAAAACTCATGGAGCAGGGAGAGACAGGACCCAGTAGCAACCGGTGAATAGGCGGGGCCAGGAGCTAAGACTCGACCCCTGCAACCTCAACTAGGCGAGTACACACACACATTAACACCGCGTGTCATCTTCCATCTTACAACAGACTACTGCGGCGTTATAGTCATGTGTATTCGACTGAACAAAGCTCTTGTGCAAGTGAAATGCTTCAGCAATAAAAACCTGCAGAAAATACACTAATGTGCAGTTCAGGACATTTATTAAAGGAAATGTTTCGCCACCAGTGGCTTCCTTAGTCTTGAAGAAGCCATGAGTGGCTTCCTTAGTCTTGAAGAAGCCACGAGTGGCTGTCTTAGTCTTGAAGAAGCCACGAGTGGCTTCCTTAGTCTTGAAGAAGCCATGAGTGGCTTCCTTAGTCTTGAAGAAGCCACGAGTGGCTTCCTTAGTCTTGAAGAAGCCAGAGTGGCTTCCTTAGTCTTGAAGAAGCCAGTGTTCTGAGCGTGGCTGTCTTAGTCTTGAAGAAGCCACGAGTGGCTGTCTTAGTCTTGAAGAAGCTAGTGTTAATGTCTTGAGCCGTGTTTGTGCCGTGTTTACATGCTGGTAGTCAGTCTGTGCGACAGCTGTTTAGCTGAGCCTGGTAAGAGTGCTGCTGATGGTAGCAGTCCTTGTGTAAGCTGCCAAGCTAACACAAGGTCTAGTACGCAGTTTCCTGCTGGAATTTCTCCACGAAGTAAACCTTGACCGCAGAGATAAAGTTGAATCTTAGTGTCACGCGTCAGCCAGTTGACACAACCAATACCAGGACATTTAAGGTTACTTTAAAGGAACCTCTCAAGGGACGATCCTTGATGTTTTTGAGGGATCCTTGATCCACCTAATTGGACTTATCCTGCACATGTGTCATAGTCTTCAAATTGGCAGTATTGTATACCATCAATAGCATCATGCAGCCAAAAATACTGTAAGAAAAGCAAATTCTAATGACACATGTTCTGGTAGACATACACCTCTCATGTATACTTGTACTGGTAGACATACACCTCTCATGTATACTTGTACTGGTAGACATACACCTCTCATGTATACTTGTACTGGTAGACATACACCTCTCATGTATACTTGTACTGGTAGACATACACCTCTCATGTATACTTGTACTGGTAGACATACACCTCTCATGTATACTTGTACTGGTAGACATACACCTCTCATGTATACTTGTACTGGCAGACATACACATCTCATGTATACTTGTACTGGTAGACATACACCTCTCATATATACTTGTTCTGGTAGACATACACCTCTCATGTATACTTGTACTGGTAGACATACACCTCTCATGTATACTTGTTCTGGTAGACATACACCTCTCTATGTATATATCCTGTGTATATCTGTTTAAAGTATCACTCGACATGTTTAAGACTATTAAAACATTTATGGCCAATATATTTTACTGATATATTATATTATATATATATATATATATATATATATATATATATATATATATATATATATATATATATATATATTATATATATATATATATATAAGTGAACGCTGTTTCTGGTTACATATTTTAATATTTTATTTTCTGTCATTTATATACTAAAATAATCTATATTCTTTAGTGTATTTACTACAAACTGCAGATAATTAAAAAAATTTCGGACGTTAGTTAAGATCAGAATACTCTACTAGAGAACCTGCCGTAGGCCTACTGGCCTACACTGATACAATAAAAGACGAAGAACACTCCGGTAGATCTAATGGCCCATGCTAGGTTATTAAGGAGATAAGACTAAAGGTGTAGTTCAATATACTGGTCAGTGCCAAGCTATTTTAACACGAGTATTTTTTTCCTACCCTTATGGACGATAACTTTGTCACATTACCAAAATAAAATATTTTAATTATCTTTCCACATCCAGACGAAGTGAAGCGCATCACCAGACGTACCTTAACACCTCATTCAATGCTCCTCAAAGACGCTCTTACAAACTTCAAATTAACTACTTATGGTAAAAAGAGCATATATAAAACCAGTATTCTAATCAATTATTTAGACGACACTCAGTTTTAGAAGCCAATTTTCCATTTCGGATGACCCGTCTTAATGCAATCTCAAAAGCAAGAGTGTGTGTAGCGAGGGTGTTCACTTCACTGTCACAAGAACCAGCAGAGATGTGTGCGAGTAAGTGGTCTTACCTTCACTGCTGCTCCCTACATACTGCTGATTCTTTCTGCTTTCTTCCAGCCCCTTGGCTTCACACTCAAGTTGCCAAATATAAATTGCCAATATCATGTGTTGTTTACATGTTATACACAGTTTGTTGCGTTGTCTGAATAACCTACATCAGTAATTACTGAATAATTCACTCTCACGTATTAAGTTTCGTGAATTTTGAGTCAGAATGTTTTATTATTCTGGTTGGGGCCCAGGAGATAGCTCCTTTATTCATGATAGTTACCCAGTGATAAAATTGTTAATATATTTGGTTATATAATAATATTAATACTTTCTTTATCAAATATTTACATTTGTCTTGAGTTCGGGGCTTTTTGGGGCGGTTGTCTGTCTTCATAATTTATCATTTGATTACAATTTTCATTTATTTTTCATAATGCAAAACAAAATAACCTTGAATGGTGAATTTTATTCCGGTTTGAGCGATAGTTTTGGAGATCTGGTATTTTAAATTTTCGCATTGTGCCAAGACTGCATTTCTACCGTTCAGAAGATGAAATCTGTGCATGAAGGAAACTCACTCTCGCAGAGACCTGCGTATGTAAGTTTATTCAGGTACATGTATACATAAATACACTTATATACATTATCATAAATAGCACCATATGTGTACATTATCCAAGATGACCCAAAAAAGTCGGACAAAGTGACTTATTTCCATTGGAGAACAACAAAATTACTCCCACCCCTCTTCCTGTTTTTTCCTTTGACTGGATTGCGTCAGTGTTTAATGAGGTTATTTTGTGTAAGTCGTATATACCACTCCCTCAGTGTATTCCTCGCATATCTAAAAGTAATCAGGAAATGCCTGGTGAGACGAAAATAACTGGGGACAGAAGAGGAACTTGCCAGCGCATCACCGAACGTTACCTTGATCATTGTGCAATAACGAAAATAAAACACATTGAAATAATGGTAGAGCTACCGATAATATATTAGGCAAAAAAGGTCACACTGGATGCGCATGTGTCCTTTTCCCTTGTAAAATAATATATCAAGCTAGACGAGAACAATTTAAGTCAAAAAACTCTCTAGATCAATGCTAGATACGTATTTCTTCTAAACACAAAGATCATGGAAAAGTTAGATATAATTCAATAAAACTCCGAACTGCTTGTAAGTATATAACGATCTATGAGACATGTCTCATGGATAGTTTAGTGTAATTCATTAAAGAACTCCACTTAAGGTACTACTGAAGGAACGTATGAGGACCACTTCCAAGTGGCATTCCTCAAGGGTTACTGCTGGGGCCTCTTGTTCGCAATCTAAAAGATTTACATGAGGAAATAAATAGTGCAGAAATAAGTTCCTTGACGACACAAAAATGGGCCGATAAAAAAATTATTGGGAAACCAGAGAGTTTAAGATAGATTTGTGTAAGTTAATGTAGGAAAAGAGGCCGATACAACCCAATACTGACAAAGTTAATGTCTTTATCCTGGAGAAAGAAAATGCAGCCATATCTATAAAACAAAAATGTTGAATTTAATCACAACGGATGGGAAAAATGACTTGAGAGTTTTGGACAGCAAATTATTCCCTCTCTCAGGGGTTAATAACAATAAAAATAATAACAATAATACAATAATCTTTATTTCTACAAGTACATGATACAACCTATACAGACCATAGCTGACATCAATGACATACTATATAGGAACCCCTTGTTATACAGAGCATTTCCCGCAACTTATGTTAATTTTGTCCCCAGGATGCTACCCACACCAGTCTACTAACACCCAGGTACCTATTTTACTTCTAGGTGAACAGGGACAACAGGTGTCTTAAGGAAACACTTCCAAATGTTTCCACTCGCACCAGGAATCGTACCACATACCTCAATGTGTGAGCTGAGTGCGCAACAAACCGAGCTATGGGACACAGCAATAAGAACAAAGGGCAAATGTCTGACCCCAGTGGAATACCACTTCTGACTAGTCTCTTCTCTTGTTTCACTCAATTTAAACAAATTCGCTGTTGCCTGTCAGTCAGTGTTGCCTCGATGCAGGAAGTCCTCCGATACCGTGTGCTGCTACTTTCTTTAGAAGTCACCTATATGGGACTGTTAAAAACTTTATAGAAATCATATATACCTGTATGGTGAAAATAGTATAAAATACCGACAAAATGATGACTAAGACACATGTGTAACACTTGGGAATCTGTATTGATGAAACATGTCGCCTAAGCATTAAGCTTTGTATTTAACTGACGAAGTCTAGTGTGTAGGCGAAACGTTTCAACAATAAAGATACCCAACTGTTGAACAAATATGCTCTACGTCAAAGCTCACAGTTTCCAAAACCTTAGTGAAGAAAGTAAACAAATTTGTTAGGCAAGAACTGCCCCCTTAAACATTGAGTGTTGATATGTTTTCCTCAGTTCCCCGGATCATGAGCTTTAAAGCCCCTCCCTTGAGGGATACTTGGTAGTAATTTCGACCTAATAACATAAAATTATTTGATAAACAATTACATATTCTCCGTGTGTTGAGGATAGTAGGTTATTATTGTTATCAGGGAGATCACACTGATCATTCAGCACTACAAGGGAGAGGTTGTAGACGTGTTTTACCTGGAGTTTACCTGGAGTAGGTTTCGGGGGTCAGGCCTCATGGGAAGGTATTGTTGTAGTCGTGTAGGGAAGGTGTTGTAGTGGTGTGGGGAAGGTGTTGTTGTAGTCGTGTAGGGAAGGTGTTGTAGTGGTGTGGGGAAGGTATTGTTGTAGTCGTGTAGGGAAGATGTTGTAGTGGTGTAGGGAAGGTGTTGTTGTAGTCGTGTAGAGAAGATGTTTGTAGTGTAGGGAAAGGGTTTGTTGTTGTAGTGTGTAGGGAAGGTGTTGTTGTGTCGTTTTGGGGAAGATTTTTGTAGTGGTGTAGGGAAGGTGTTGTTGTAGTCGTGTAGGGAAGGTGTTTTTTGTAGTCGTGTGGAAAGATGTTGTAGTGGTTTTGGGGAAGGTGTGTTGTAGTCGTGTAGGGAAGATTTTGTAGGGGTGTAGGGAAGGTGTTGTAGTGGTGTAGGAAGGTGTTGATGTAGTGGTGTAGGGAAGGTGTGGTTGCAGTGGTGTAGGGAAAGTGTTGTTGTGTGGGTGTAGGGAAGGTGTTGATGTAGTGATATAGGGAAGGTGTAGTTTTTTAGGGTGTAGGGAAGGTTTTGGTTGTCGTGGTGTACGGAAGGTGTGGTTGTCGTGGTGTAAGGAAGGTGTGGTTGTCGTGGTGTAGGGAAGGTGTGGTTGTCGTGGTGTAGGGAAGGTGTGGTTGTTGTGGTGTAGGGAAGGTGAAGGTGTAGAGAAGAGAATATCGTCAGAAAAATTGTGGGTCAGAGTTACCTAGCAAACAGATGACATGGACTCATAATAAGTATGTTTAGGCTACAAAACACGATAGAGAGGGCAGACACAGGTGGTACATATTCTGGCCATCTTCATATTCTGGAGAGAGTTTCGGGGGTCAACGCCCCCGCGGCCCGGTCTGTGACCAGGCCTCCTGGTGGATCAGCGCCTGACAACCAGGCTGTTGCTGTGGCTGCACGCAAAACCAACGTACAAACCCACAGCCGGCTGATCAGGAACCGACTTTAGGTGCTTGTCCAGTGCCAGCTTGAAGACTGCCAGGGGTCTGTTGGTAATCCCCCTTATGTGTGCTGGGAGGCAGTTGAACAGTCTCGGGCCCCTGACACTTATTGTATGGTCTTTTAAACGTGCTAGTGACACCTGCTTTTCATTGGGGGGATGGTGCATCGTCTGCCAAGTTTTTTTGTTTTTCGTAGTGAGTGATTTTCGTGTGCAAGTTCGGTACTGTCCCTCTAGGATTTTCCAGGTGAAATATATCATGTATCTCTCCCTCCTGCGTTCCGGGGATACAGGTTTAGAACTCAAGCGCTCCCAGTAATTGAGGTGTTTTATCCCCGTTATGCGCGCCGTGAAAGTTCTCTGTACATTTTCTAGGTCGGCAATTTCACCTGCCTTGAAAGGTGTGTTAGAGTGCAGCAATATTCCAGCCTAGATAGAACAAGTGACCTGAAGAGTGTCATCAGGGGGCTTGGCCCCCCTAGTTTTGAAGGTTTCATTATCCATCCTGTCATTTTTCTAGCAGATGCGTTGATAAATTTTTAGGGTCCTTGAAGGTGAGATCCTCCGACATAATCACTCCCGGTCTTTGACGTTGGTGTTTCGCTCTATTTTGTGGCCAGAATTTGTTTTGTACTCTGATGAAGATTTAATTTCCTCATGTTTACCATTCTGAGTAATTGAAATTTCTCATGTTGAACTTCATATTGTTTTCTGCAGCCCACTGAAAGATTTGGGTTTGATGCCCGCCTGGGCCTTGCAGTGTCTGCAAGGGAAGATACTGTCATGCAGATTCGGGTGTCATCTGCAAAGGAAGACACGGTGCTGTGGCTGACAACCTTGTCTATGTCGGATATGAGGATGAGGAACAAGAGGGGGCTAGTACTGTGCCTTGGGGAAAACAGAGCTTTTCACCTTTAGCTGCCTCGGACTTTACTCTGTTGACGACTACTCTCTGTGTTCTGTTAGTGAGGAAATTATAGACCCATCGACCGACTTTTCCTGTTATTCCTTTAGCGCGCATTTTGTGCGCTATTACGCCAGGGTTTCACACTTGTCGAAGGCTTTTGAAAAGTCTGTATATATTACATCTGCATTCTTTTTTTTTCTAGTGCATTTAGGACCTTTGTCGTAGTGATCCAGTAGTTGAGACGGGACAGGAGCGACCTGTTCTAAACCCTGTTGCCCTGGGTTGTGTAACTGATGGGTTCTAGATGGGTGGTGATCTTGCTTCTTAGGACCCTTTAAAAGATTTTTATGTTTATGGGATGTTAGTGCTATTGGTCTGTAGTTCTTTGCTGTTGCTTTACTGCCCCCTTTGTGGAGTGGGGC